CACTTCTCTCATCCACGACCGACCAGCAGCTGCTAACCAGAGGAGACCTTGACGTGAATGGAATGGACCGAATCCTGGCCGGCATGTCAAAGAGTCAAACCACGCCAACCCGCAGCTCCCCGAGTCTGTCTCATACGAATGGCAACATCTTCCTGGTGTCGTAATACTGTTGCAACTGTACAAAACAGCCAGTGTTTCTGTTGTATTTAAAATCACATGGCATAGCGTTTAGATACTCGATTGAATCCCTTGCCATTTTTTCAGTAGCCATCCCCTAAAACCAAATTTCAACCCCATCATCATCAACACACGCGGGTACAAGGTTGAGCCCTGGGAAGATCCATCCCTCTTGCTCAGTATATCCCGCGATACATCAATAGCAACCTCCATCAGCCGTCCGCAACGGCATCGCACGTATCGGGACGGCTTGAACTGGCTGGTTCCACGCACTTGCTCCTCCGGCTTCTGCCCGGAAACCATGCCCGAGCGCGCCTGCTTGCAGGTTGTTGTGACGAAGGATGTGTTCTAGTGAGACGAGACGGGCTTCGCGAGAGGCTTGTTCGAATCCACGTCTTATTGGAACACAGTGCAAGTGCTACAATTCGGTGCAATTATTCGTCGTGTCACCACGACAAAACCTCATGACGGTTCTAGTATCGACGCCTCATCGCTGGGACGTCAAGTGTTGGGTTGTGAACATTTGCTCAATTCTATGTTTTATTGTCCTCGTGAGGTGCAAGTCTAGGTGAGTAGACGATAGCGTCTCTCGTGCCTGTCGTAGGCGAAAGTGAAGAATAATTGCTTCAGGCATTTGGTAGCCAAGAGCTCTGCCGCTTTGGTTCAGGATGAAGCGTTCAACATTCCATAGTCAATGTCGAAACCTCAATCATTCCAACCCAAGCCTTCCAGCTCTCTTCTGATTTCATCCTCCGTGTCCATCTTCTTGATCTGAGTCCCCTCCAACTTCTCACCCCCGGCACGCCTCATCTTCAGGTCATCAATGGCCCGCAGCTTCTTCAGCAAAGCCCTGGTTTTCTTGTCTTGCGGTGTCCCTCCGCCACCTGGAGAGGTCACCGAGAGCTCAGGAGCTTCTTGTGGTGCCTTTGCGCTTGTGCCATTGGCAGCTGAGGTCGGAAGTGGTGGCCGTTGAGGTTGCCGTTCAGGCTGCCGTTGTTCTTTCTTGCCTTGCTGCGAGCGTGGCCGAGCGTCCAATTGTCCCCTTGACCGATTCCTCTCATGACCCTTCGGAACTCTCCTCTCTGGACTTCTACTTGGATTTATCGCTGTAACAGAGGAGACGCCATCTGCTGTTGGCGCAAGCCCAGTGGCTTTGTCAGCAGCGTCCTTCGCCTTCCTTGCTTCCCGCTTCTTCTTATTCTTTGCAGCTGCCTTTGACAGATACTCGTCGCCCTCTGCAGGTGCTGCCCCAGTCGTAGCTTGATTATCCTCGGCCATGGCCGCTGCGCCTGGAATTTCTCGCTTCCTCGGTTTCCCAAAGCCATTGACTCCAAGACCCAAAGATAGACTGCCATTGCTAACGTATGCGGCACCACCCTCATCTTCACGCTTGAAAGCTAAAGGTGTGAGCGTACCTCGAGCGCCAGGTGGTCGGTAAGCACCAGCAGGCTTCGATGGTGTCTTGACAGTGCCCAAGTATGCTAAAGCAGAGGCATGCGGTGTAGGCATAGGATGAAGAGGATTTTCCAGGGGATGTGACTTTGGAGACTGCGGACGCCAGGTGACATGGTAAAGCTCTTGCAATTCCTCATTATACATCAACCCCCCCCCAACATGCCATATCCTCACACCATTATCGACCCGTAGCCTCGGGCTTGTAGTCGCAGTAAGTATGTGCTTTCCGTCAGGACTCCACTCGCATACACTGGCATTGCTAGCTTCGATAGTGCAGATCTTTTGATAGTCATTTTCCATATCGTAAATGTCCATTTGGCCCGCCAAGTTGCCGAAGCCAGCAACTAGTACGAAATTCCCGTGTGGAGAGAAGAGAATTGTGTTCCGTGGACCAAGAGCGAAGTCGTGAGTGGCGTTGGCTTTGGTATTGAAAATTGTGGTCTTAGCTGGCATATAGCCGTACACCACGCCAAATTCTTTCGAGTTCGGCGACCATGTAACGTCATGGATTGGGCCATCCTTGTCTGCGGTGGGTTAGTGTTTTTCTTCTAGCAACCTCAACGAAAGACAGTACCTAGATCTATCCTGGAATCAAAGCCGCCATTGGCGCTCAGGAGATACAAAGTTGTTTCCCCGTAGTAACTCTTGCCTGACTTGTCGACTTCGGTCTGAGCTAACACGATGAGGCTGGTTCCTTGGTCGTTCCATTTGAGCTGAACCTTATCTCCCTTGAAGAAATTCTTTTGAGAAACCGGAGCCTCAAAGTTTGGTACGTTGAACACCTTTACTGCGGCAGGTTGACCCTAGGGTCGCGGTTAGGATTCAATCAGTGCTTGGGCTGGGATCCTGCTTACCTTGCGTTCCGGGATGAATACAGCGATCGAATGGTTCTCACCAGGCGACACAGCAAATTCTGTGACTCCTTCAACCCGCAGCTTGTTCCACACAGTCGCAAGGTCTCCACTTTGATAGAATTGAACCTCATTTGTGACTACGCGCGCACAGTACTGTTCGTCATACGTATACTGGAGGTTCCACCCAGTCTGTGACTTCTGCACAAAACGCCCGACGATATTATGCTCGTCTTCCCCTAGATCCGGCCCTCCCTCGACAACTCTCCATACCTTCAAGTTCTTGACAGCATCACCATTATCGTCCTTTGAGGGTCTTTGCCAAGTAATGATGAAGGTGCCGAGAGGGGAAAACCCTAGCTCGTAGACATTTTGGGCTGGCAAGGTCGTGATTACGTGCCCGATAGAAGCGTCGACGACGGTCACTCTGCCGATGCTCAGTACAAGCCCTTCAGTCCCCTCGCCAATTCTTACCTCTCAGGTGATGCCCAAGCAAAGTATCGTCCGCAAGGCGAATAGACACAACATCTGAGATTTCCGTCCGGCCTAGTGACTGGAGGGTCAATCAAAAATTGCCGGATGCAACAAATTGGCGATGGAGTGTTTGACAGAGCACGAACCTTTCGAATCCACGTAACGAGTCATAGACTGGGGCAGCCTCGATAACACCAATGCCTTTGAGCGTTCGATCTAAATGATTACAATTCAGCAGTCAATGAACAATCTTTCCCGGTCGCTAGACTTACAAGCAAATTGCGTGGGGACCGCCATGACTAGTGAAAGTCACAGGTATTCTTCTGCTGCAGCAAGTACTTTTTGAAGCGGAGAAGAGTCGAGAGAGGGGGCGAGAAGAGGTGGTGGAGTTACGAACAAAGAACATAAGATCACGTCCTGGTGGTCTACGATTTTTCAACGGTTTCTGCAGTGGGACTACAACCCTAACCCTGATTCTTCCCCGGATTCAATACGTCCACAGCTCTTATACAACTCAACTAAAAGTACACTGATCTCTGTTTGAGCATTCTGATCGCCGCGCAATCTCCTCTGATAGGGAAGAAGCCAGATTCCCACAGACCATGGCCCTGCGCACGTGTCTTGCAGCATTGTGAAGCGTTAATCACGAGTAGTAGATCTCGAGTACTGCAGGACGCTTGACGCAATGCCCCATCCTTGAACCTAAGTTGCTCCGGAGAAAGGGACTTTTTCGGTCGTTGGAAAATGCTTGTAAGCCATCCAAAATTCGTCTCCTTCAAGGTATCACTGTCGACTATCTTCGCCCACGGGATCTTCAGTCATACTGAAGTACTTGATTCGCAGCTCTTCTGTTCCTGTCGTTATTCCTCTCGAATTTCCAGACGGGTTCAGTCCTCAAGCCCTTGCATTGGACTACCCGAGTCTCTGTTACGCTGTTTTGCTGACGTGGGGCTGCCAGCCCCACCAGCATCCTTCCCTGTGGCAGCTGTCTTGTTGGAAATTGACGTTGGTCCGCTGACAGTGCTGCTGGCGGTCTCCCCAAAACCAACCAGGCTTGCATTTCCCTCGTCACTCATACCAGCACTGCTGATCCCATCATCCTGATCTTCACTCATCTTGTCCGAGTCACCTCCAGACCCTGTTGCAGACGCGCTACCTACAGTACTTTTACGTAGATAAGACGCGTTGTCAAAGTATCCTGGAGGCTGCTGCTGTTGGACATGTTGGCTCCCTTGGGCAAGATGTTGATTAGCGCCACGGAGAGTGGCTACTCTTTCCAAGCCAGCAAGACGAGATATGCGGTCCGCACGTTCGGCGTCAAGAGTGTTGGCCGAGGAATTTGAGGTTGAAGAAGTGCCGTGCGCGTGTGTATGGGGCGGTGCTTGCCCGAGTGATCCGTCCTTGATAGCAGTCGTGCTGAAAGCAGAGTTAGGTGTTCCCCTGCAGCAATGAGTGTCCGGCTTGATACTACCGAGGGAGTAAACGACGGGGGTCAGAATGAAGTAAATACTTACGGCCCAAAGTCAGAAGGGGTCTCTCCAGAGTCACTTGGAGGAGGAGGAAGATTAATGAGGGTTGGACCTTGAGATCTCGACATAATTCCGAATTAGAGGTAGCCTTGTCGTTATCCTACGGCTTGAAGAGGGTGATGTACAGTCTGAACTGGAAAGAGCTTTGTCTGGAAAAGTTGAGCTCAAGCCGGAGGTACGCCTGTCAGAAAGTTACGCATAGGGGCAAGTGTTCATAGGTATTTTCGCAAAACAGCGGATGAGGGAAGAATCAAATTGTTGTTTTGAAACGTCTTGTGAGTTGTGAGTTGTGACCGCCTCCACGTCTAGAAATCTAGGGCTCCAAACCCTGGTGACCCACAGACCGCAACTTTAAAAAGTGAGGAAGCGCATTTCACACTTTACGGAGGTCAAACAACAGTCAACCACATTAACGACTTTGATATATACAATTTCGTGGATGATAAAGTATATGTAATATAGACCTCGCGGCATCTTCAGTCACCAAACATTTCGTAATCGTTACATACACCTTTCAAGTGACTTCGTAACCCCTCAGTATTCTTTCCGTGGAATCTCCTCTGCCTGCCAATTCAATAGTCCCGTTCTGGTGTACTGCGATCTCGCGACTCCGCTCGTCTAGTTGTATTGCTGTTGGGTGAGTACTCAACCTAGGACCTTTGGGAGACATCTCGTCGTCAGAAGAATTCATCTTCCGGCGGCTAAAGAATGATTTGAAGGGCGCCAAAGAGCTGATTACGACCGCGACGCTGGCTTCAATTTGGGACCAAAGATTCAACCACGACGTTTCGGGATGAGAGTTGTGTTGATTAGTCACAGCTACAAGACCTCGCAATTAGCATTGGCTCTTAAAGGTAGGCTTTATTTGGAAAATTGTGTAGTGTGCAACAGGGTTCGTTTCAGGAAAGAACGACTATGCTTACCTATCCGGATGATTGCAAATATAATGATGACAATTCCCAGGCTAAAGATTCCACCAAGCGCGAGCTTCTGAAGCAACGGGCGCTGAACACGGAAGGCCAAATAGAGAGGAAGCGCTATTATCAGGGCGTCGGTTATGATATCCACAGCTGTGCTATATCGGAGCGACACAAGTGAACGAGATATATGTATTTGGCTCTCGCATTGCCCTAGGACTCCGTCAACAATGTTGCAAAGACGGACAGAAACTGGTCACACAAAGACTAACCCAATACGAATGATGAGCATGAGACCGGATACCTGTAATCTTTACCATCAACTTGATGATCTTGCAGCTTGTGGTGGGGACACAGTCACATACGTGATGATGGCACCAATGTACGAGAGCACACTGATGATGACAGTCGCCCACCATACTTGACGGCAATACTTGAGGTTCTTGGTGAGACGATGGTAAAATGATAAGAAGCACGCCTTGACGGCCCAGAGGCAGCTCCAATAAAGATATGTCAAAGCGAATTGCAATTTCAGATAGAAGGTTGCATTCTTCATGAAATCCGTGTCAGGCTCGGCAAGGCCTGCTCCGACATTGAGAACCTGATACATTGAGGGTATGGCAACCGTCAGCACCAGGGCGAGGCCGAGAAGGATAAGGAGGGCAAGCGAGGCCCATGCATCGTCAAAGTAAAGGCGGCGCGAAATCTTGAGTCGAATTGCGATCCGAGCAAGGAAAAAAAGCACTGCGATGGCGAAGAGGCTCCATGTGGCTGCCTGTTGAAGGACAATGAGCCGACGGTCATGAAGAAGACGCTCGAATGGCAGAGTTAGATTGGATTGTTTACTAACCAGCAAGGAAGCTTGGGAAACCTTAGGAGGCTGTTCGGTTGCTGTCGGCATGATGCCGTATCCGTCAATCGACTTTGTTGAGGCTTTCCTGTTCACAGTTGTACCACGTCTGAAAGCATTCTCTAGAGGGCGGCATGCTCGACGACACTGCTTACAGCGACTGGCGACTGGGGGATGAATTATGAAAGATGATGAAAGGAACAACAAGGATGATGGATGATGGGGGTGAGAATGTCCGAAACTTTAGTGGTCCCACCTATGATTGTTCTACGGTAATGTCAGTAGCGAGCATGATCTGCGTGTTACCTTTGCCTGTCTCGTACCCTGCCGCCACATGCCACCAAGGTGCATTTGAGCATGCCGATCATTCGTGCGTTTCCCGGGTCTTGGCCCCAAGATCTTTCGCAGACCATTGGGTGCACAGTCACACGCTGACTACCGCCGGGGACGGTCCGTCTATCATGCTCTCTTTTCTGCGCATTTCAGTCTCTCATTTCTCACAGTCAAGGGAAGAAAGCCGGAAGTTGCATTTATAAATTAATTGTGTCCTTGCACTCAGTCCGCGGACCACTTGATCGTTCAGGGAGCCCTCCCCCCTAACACCGCTACCTTAAGGTAGCTTATTCCGCACTACGGTAGTGCTACTAGCCTTGGTACTACCACTGGTGGCTGATGTTGGGACCAGCGAGAGTTCGAGACTAAGGTAAAGTACCTTAGGCGACAGCAGGAGAAGAGGACATGCCCTTGAGAATACCGTACAAGGGTCCAGCGAGAAACACTCGGCGTGCTTACTTAGGTCCTTGGGACCAATTCCTCCATTTCTACCACCTTAACCGGTACTTTCTTTCTACCTTCTACACTTGATCGGCTTTGCTTGATATCGTTTCCTTTTCGCATCTAACCTACACAACGGCTCGATATGTTATCGTTAGCAAGGCTGCATAGCTGCATGATGGTTGGAATTTAAACTGCCATGCTCTCCACTGTGCCACTCAAGTAGGTACTGGGAGCGGTGCCGCAAGGCGTTGCGTCACACTGTACGGAGGGTGACACCAAAAGTCCTGCACATGCGCTAAATCTCTTGGCATGCTTGGCATTTTGACAAATCTGACCTTTTTCTTGGATAGCTTCATTTTTCTAGTGATGATGCTTCATATAGCTACGTATATACTCATTTGCTCGCTTCGTAGAGTTGTAGGGCCGTACATCACCTTCCTCACGGCCTTCCCTGTACTCGTTACCGCCCTTGAGACGAATAACCTCCGCAATATGTCTCGGTATTCGCTCTATCCACTCCTGAATCCTCTTCTGTGTAAGCTCGTGATTCCAGCAATATAGTGCACTCCGTATGTATGCACTCCGTATGTATACACCTCGTATGTACAGCATTGACGTCGCTGTTAAGTAAAAAGCAGTGATATTGAGGATATTCAAAATATTCAGAATATTTGCCAAGCATGCCAAGAGATTTAGCGCATGTGCAGGACTTTTGGTGTCACCCTCCGTAATCTACTTTACCTACCATAGGTACATTACCTACATATACGGTATAGTGTGTCATCTATAATCTACTGACGTAATACCCGTCCGTTGACAGCCGTTTAGCCGTCCAATATGACTCCCACATGCAACACTAACGCGACGGGCTGTTTTTGGCCTCTCGGGGTTTTGGACGCTGGTGGGGGAGGTTTTTCTCCTTCTCGCTTATGGCTTTTTTGGCCACTGTCGGGCTCATGCGCGCCCTTTCTTAGTTTCTTTGGATTGCTTGCTACGTGCATCTAAATTAGATAGAGTACGGTACTGCACGAAGCACAGCACCTTCACCTTTCCCCCTTCAGTGATTTGGCTGCTTCACTACTGTATCACAACCCCATTATCATCTAGCACTGTGTCAACATGGGTATACTCCCGTCCATTCTTTCGGCCGCAGCAGCCTGTGCTTTCTTCAACCCTTCTTTTGGCGTCTCAGCGTCCACAACACCCGATGCGGCAACAGTCAGCGCAGTCTTGAAGGAGCATCCAACTTGTGTTCGTCTTACGATGCTTCATGGCTATAGACGACCGTGTCTGACCTCGCGCTTAGTGCAATGCTCTTGCTTTCTTATTGCCTGGGAAGGTATCGACTGCAGGTGGAGCGCCCTATAAATCATCCCTTGCCTCCTACTGGTCCTTGCAAGAACAAGCCGTGTCGCCCGCATGCGTTGTCACTGCTGAGAACCCTACCGATGTCTCGGCCGCAGTGTTTGTGCTTGACATTGCATCCAAATTAACGCATGTCGAAGGCTGCAAGTTCGCCGTCAAAAGTGGCGGGTGAGCTGCCTATCCCAATGGGTTCTCGTCCGCAAGACACCAACTTACATGACCCAGGCATACTCCATTCGCAGGATCCGCAAGCATACAAGGTGGTGTCAACATTGATTTGACCAAATTGAACCAAATTATAGTCTCACGTGACCGGACGTCGGTCAGTATCGGTCCAGGAAACAGATGGGAAGCCGTATACCTAGAGCTCGATGCCCGAAATCTGTCCACATCTGGTGGTCGCGCTTCAACGGTTGGTGTGGGCGGGCTTACTCTTGGAGGTGGCTTTTCCTTTTTCTCTCCAAGATATGGACTTGTTTGGTACGTACTCCTATTGCGGACCATTCTGCGAGCTGCGAGACATGTTCTGGGAGCAAAAGGCTCCTAGCCTCTTCCAACTTTCTTATTGCTTAGGATTTTGCCGTGACAAGGGACGCTGATTTCGAAATTCTGATAGCGACAACGTGATTAATTTCCAGGTAAGCCGCTCCCCTTTTCGATGCTCGTGCGAAAATCTGACGCAGGCACGCTGCAGGTTGTTCTTGCCTCTGGTCGGATTGTGAACGCAAACTTAACGTCATACCCGGATTTGTTTGCAGCACTGAAGGGTGGCTCGAGCAATTTTGGTATTGTCACCAGCTTTGATTTGAAGGTGTTCAAACAGGGGAAGGTATGTGTCTCAAGGTCGAATGATTTCAAAGAGTTTTCGCTTCCTTCACAAGCAAATTGTGTCCATGGCCTTCGGCGACTTTCAACTCAATATCCATCGAAAAGTTATGCTGATGCTGCTTCTCTAGTTTTGGGGAGGTTTTGTTGGCCAAGATATCAGTACAAGGTTCCTTCAATTTCAGTATTTCGAGGATTTCGCCAAAAACTCGACCTATGACCCATATTCAGCTCTCATAAATAGCTATTCCTATACTGCGAGCGAAGGCTGGATTATCGCGAGGTGAGAACGTTCCACAATCATCATGCTCGCCTGAAGGTTTGCGACATCCGCTAAATCTTACGAATAGCGACTACGAGTACACGAAACCTGTGGCATATCCTGAAGCATTCAAAAACTTCACAGATCTTCCTCAAACATTCAACACGATGCGCATTTCCAACCTGACCGACTTCACCATTGAGATTGATGCGAGGAACCCATCCGGCAGCCGAGAAATATTCGTTACTGCCACCTTTAAGAATAACGCCACGATGATGGAGAAATTCTTTGATCTAGCCAATCAGACTGTTCAGGGTATCTCGGATGCCACGAATTTGACGTTTAGTCTGAGTTTCCAGCCATTGCCACAACTTGTCATTGGGTATGGACCTGCCAACGGTGGTAACTCTCTGGGATTGGGTCCGGAGGACGGCGATATCGTGAATGTTCTTCTCACTATTCAATGGGCCGAGGAAGCTGACGATGCGCGTATCAATAACGCAGCCCAAAGCCTATTTTCCCAAGCGGAAGCCGCCTCTAAAACCATGGGTACCTATAACCCATACCTATATCTAAATTACGCCGCATATTTTCAAAACCCGATAGCTGGGTATGGGAATGCGAGTCAGGCGAAGCTAGAAAGGGTGAGCAAGAAGTATGATCCAGGCCAATTATTCCAGAAGCAACTTCCTGGAGGCTTTAAGCTTCAGCAAAAAGGGCAAGACTAAGAGGGAAAAGTGTACCTACAAGTATATAACTCAAAGACTCTGTACTAGGAGAATGAATATAAATGTGTAATACCAATAGTTAGACATTTGAGGTGCGAAATTGCCATGATATTATTGGACTTCACAAACCCATTGCTCCGAGTCAAGCACCTGCTTCGGACTAACCCTTTCAGAGTCCGTAATGGACGAGGACCCTTTCATCCCTTGAGGTCTTGGCAGATACGAACATCGCGGCGCTTGCTTAAGTCCGAAGGCAACCAAAAGTCGACGTCTTTCTTCTCGAAAATCAACAATTTGAAGCCATGCAACACCAGTCTTGATCTCTGAGGTGTCTACCCCCAACCCAAATCCCCATCGTAAAGTGCAGTCTATCGATACGGACCACTTTGACCCGACACAATGTTGCCCGCATTCCACATCCGAAATTTGCAGCCTTCGCTCGTTCGAATCGACGCTCCATGTTACGATGAAAGTATCAATAGTCACCCAGCAGCAACACTAAAATATTACGATGAAGATGACGGAGACCTGATCACGGTAGGCATTCTCCTACCCGAAGGCTTGTCTAAGTTTAAGTTCTGTGCTGACGCGGGATATACAGCTTGGGTCATCCAGAGAATTGACGGAGAAGCTGAAAGAACCTGTCATACCGCCCTCATCAGGCCTTTTGGCAGACTTGCAGCATGGTCTTCAATCTTCAGAGCATCATGTATTCGAGATTGATGACCGCAATTACGTTCGAAAGCTTTGGGAAGACATACAGAACAGCTCTAGCAAGGACTCGGAGGACGGTCCCGTCGCACAAGATCGGGGCGATGCCACGAGATGGAGCGCAGAGATGAAGAGAAGTCTGGCGATTCTCTACGAGAGGTAAGCGTAGCTCTCCTGTCGACGGAAGAAGAAAAGGGATGATCATCTAAAGAGAAGAACCTGCCACTAACACCTCTGGACAGGCGGAGACACGAAATATGGAATCCGATCGCAGAAGAACTTGGCGTCACTTGGCAGTCAGTTGATGCGATGCATTGGGCTTTGGGTCAAGAAGAAATGGCTCGTAGAGCTTATGAGCCCAATTTGCATTCTGCGCAATCTAG